TGCGCCGTTGGGGTCAAGTCGGGCCTGTCTCCATACAGGGGGATTTTCGACGAGAAATGAAAAAATACCCCAGAAATGCCCCCAAATGGCCAAAACATACACAAAAAAACAGTCCCCCGATTATTTTTTGGCATTTTTTATTCTTCGTCGAAAATCCCCCTGCAGGGGGGCAGGCCCGACCTAACGTTGGGGTCGGACAGCCGTGCCCTGCCCTCCGAGGGGGGCGGCGCCAGCTCGCGAAGCAGGTGCCCCCTCCCCGGACACCGCGCGGCTCTATATATGCGGACGGCTTGCCGCGCTCCGCTCTGCGTGTGCCCGCGACCCCCTCCCCCTGGGGGCCGCTGCTCTCGCCCTGGCACAGGCAGGTTGCATGACGGCCCAGGCGCCCCAGCCTCTCTTCTCCGGAAGCGAGACGAGCAGGTGGGCCGCCTCGACGCTGCTCGAGAGGGCACCTGGATCCGAGGCGCGCTCTCCCCCCCACCAGGGGCCAAAGCCAGCAGGCATCGGGGTCCTTCCAGGATGGGGGTGAGGACGGATGGGGGACGGAGGGCGATCACCGGCAGGGCCACGAGACCTCCCAGATCGAATGCCCCCTGCAGTTCTTCCGAGGCGCTCCCCGTGCCCGCCATGTCGTCCGCGCGCATGCCCGGGGTACATGGTGCCTGCTTCCTGGCCCCCCTTCCCAAGAGATCCGGTGCCCGGATTTCTTTTTCTCGCTGGGAGGGCCGGCCCACACCCAGGGGCCAGTTTCCCATCCCGAGTCGTTCTTCGTGGGCGGCCCCAGGGCCGGCCGGGGACCTCTATTGAGGCCGAAGCTAGCGAAGGCCTGCGGCTTGCCTGTTCGCTGCGCTCGCTGTTGGGACGCTGGTGCCCCTCCTCCTCCTCTTCCTCTTCGTTCCTCACTCCTCGCTCCTCACTTCTCACTCCTCACTCCTCACTCTTCCTCCTCCTCACTCCTCACTCCTCACTCCTCACTCCTCCTCCTCCTCCTCCTCCTCCTCCTCTTCCTCCTCCTCCTCCTCCTCCTCCTCTTTGCGGCGAAGCCGAGGGAGGTCCGAGGCGCGCTCGCCCCCATCGGAGGCCAAAGGGAGCAGACGGACAGCCGCGCGGCCTCGGCGGCACGCGCGCGCGCCGCGCGGCGACGAGGCGGCCGCCGTGGACGCCGGCAGCCCTCGCCGGGGCAGTGCTGCGGAGGACTGCCGCGGCCTCGGGCGGCCAGTCCAAACCCTAAACCGTAAACCCTAACCTCCCCCTCATCCTCCTCCGCCTCCTCCTCCTCCTCATATTCCTCCTCCTCCCCTCCCCCTCCGCCTCCTCCTCCTGCTCCTCCTCCTCTCTCCTCCTCCTCCTCCCGCCCCTCCTCCTCCTCCTCCCTCCTCCGCCGCCTCCTCCTCCTCCTCCTCCTCCTCCATATTCATCCCTTTACACCTCCTCTTCCTTACCTTACCTCCTCCGCCCTCCTCCTTCTCCTCCTCCCCCTCCTCCTCCGCCTTCTCCTCCTCCTCCTTGTCCTCAAGCCCCGTCACCAGGTCCCGCCGTCAGGGTCGGCGGCACAGGCGCAAGGCCTTCACGATGTCAGGAGGGGAAGCATTTTCATTCAAAATCTGCTCCCAGACGCCAGTCACCAGGATCCAACCCTCTCAGATGGGGTCGGAGTAGATGGGTTCGGAGGATCGCGCCGCATCGCCGATGCGGCGGCGATGCAGCTCGACGTGGAACCAGATTTTCCCTACGCCGCCGTCACGGATCATCGCCGAGGTCGCCGATGCATGGGCAATGCGGCGCGATCTTTCGACCGTGCTCGGTTCGGGCAAGTTTTTCACTCTTTTTGGCCTCTGGCGACCGTTGTCGGGGTCGGGCAGTCAAAAACGGATCCGGGGCGAGAACCGACACCAGATGGAACCTGGGAGGGGTCTGGGAACCGATTTTGAGTGGCCTCATCCACTCCTCCTGGCTGATTCTTTCCCCACATGCTTAGTGGGGTTCTGGTTTTCTTCCTTCCCGCGTCGCACCCGCGTTTCCCGCATACACACACACGCACACACACACACACACACACACACGCCTCTCCCCTTCCTTTTCCTTCTCACACAACACCGATGCTGATGATGATGGTGCCCCGACGCTGATGAGGTTGATGATGATGATGGTGGTGACGATTACGGTGTCCCGATGATGATGGTGATGGTGATGATGATGTTGATGATGGTGATGAGGTGATGATGACCATGGTGTCCCGATGATGAAGATGATGTTGATGACGTTGATGACGATGCTGTTGATGATGATGATGATGATAATGATGATGATGATGATGATGATGATGATGATGATGATGATGATGATGATGATGATGATGATGATGATGATGATGATGATGATGATGATGGTGACGTTGATTGTGAGATCAATTGTGATATCGATAATGACATCGATAGTGGGATGAGATCAACTGTGAGATCGATCGTAAGATCGGTAGTGAGATCGACTGTGAGATCGATAGTCAGATCGATTGTGAGACCGCTCGAATGAAATATATCGAGTGAGATCGATTGTGAATTCGATCGAGTGAGATCGATCGAGCGAGACCGATTGTGATATCGATAGTGAGATCGATAGTGAGACCGATCGAGTGAGACGTTGGTTCCTCCCCCCCCCGAACCTCCTTATCACCCGAAGGGTGGTCGTATAGGTAATGTATGTGGGGTTCCTCGTTACCGTAATTTGGGCCCAATCCAGCTTAGACCCCCCGGCCGCCTTCAAGGGGTCAGCGGTATCGTAATGGACAATTATTCACCAACGGGCACTTTGGAGCTCAGCCGAAAGCTGCCACGTCAGGGCTTGCGGTGCATTGCAACAGTGCCCGCGTTGAGAAGGGTTGCGTTCGCCGGGTCGCAGGCAAAAGTTCCCATGCTGGCTGTCCCATCTTCCGAGCGTGATACTTGCGCTATTGATCATACCCCCCTGCTCGATGTGAACACGGGCACGCGGGTGTCACTTGTGCACGCACTCCCTTTCCATCCGCAGCCTTTTTTTAGCTCAGGCAGCTCTGGTCCGCCCCCCCGCTAGCTCCTGGAGACCACCACCCCCGCTCTCGCCGCCATGGCATCTCGGAGCCCCCTCCTCGCGTGCGTGCTGGCGGGCACGCTCGTGGCCCTCTGCGGCCGGAGCGCCAGCTTCGTCGGGTCGCCCGCGCCGGGGTGCCAGCGCGGCGGGTGCGTGGCAGCGCGGGTGAGCGCGGAGTACCTGGAGCGCTGCGGGCCGAAGGACGCGGACGTGGCCTTCGACGCCTCGGCCGCCACGGGACCTGGCCCCGCCGTCACCTACAAGAAGCGCCCTTTCGGCATCCTGCGCTACCAGCCCGGCAACGGCATGAAGGGCGCGATGGCCATGGAGGTGATCATTCTCCTCCTCCTCCTCCTCCTTCTCCTCCTGCTCCTCCTCCTCCTCCTCCTCCTCCTCCTCCCCCCTGATCTGCAGCAGCCATCTCCCCTCTCCTGTCTCCTCCTCCTCCTCCTCCTCCTCCTCCTCCTCCTCCTCCGCTCGTGGCAACAAATGAGAGGGGGAGGGATGACTGGCCTGAGGCAGGGCCTTGCCCCTTCGCATGGGGGCATTTGGAGCCTTGTGGACCCCTCGACCGTGGCGGAAGCGGGCTCAGGGCCAGAGTGCGCCAGCACTGTCTGAGGGTGACTCCGTGCCTCGCCCGCGCTCTCTGCCCCAGCTCGGCAGGCATGCGCGGGCCTCCAGGGCCTCTCGTTCGCCGCCAACCTCCCTTCCTGGCTCAAGCCACAGGGCCGTGCAGGCCTTGAGCTTGGAGGGGGTGGCAGGGCGAGCAGGCGCGATACATCGAGCAAAGAGGAATAAACAGAGAGAGGGGGGGGTCGGCCAAGAGTAGACAAGCGATACGGACGATTCGATGAAACGCACAACATCTGAAACCGAATACCGAAATCGATGTTGGCCGCCCCCTATCCCCATGGTGTGTTAAATATGGTACAGTCCTGACCCCTGGCTCGAGGGAGGTACGGGTCGAAGGGAGCATAAAAAGGCAGCAGCGGCTTTGGGAGGAAGTGTGCTTCTTCGTGCTCCTGCGCTGCCGTCTCTCCTCTCTGAGCCAGTGGGGACCAATGCTCCAGGATGCTGCTCGCGATGAGTTTACAAGTGCTCTGGATAGGCTTTGAGGGGGCTAGTCTTGTACCTTCCCTTCTCATCCAGGCCTATAGCCACTCTCCGACGGCATTGGGCGTTAGCCTGATATCGGCATCGACCTGCCGTCGGGTGCATCTGAACGGTGCGGCTGAGCTCTGGGAGACGGGTGCACGTGAGCATGGTCGGCTTCCTGCAGACCGCTCCTGGTATCTTCGCCGCGGCCTGTACTTCGGGCAAGAACCAGGGAGGAGGGTGCAGCGGGGATCCCGTGAGGCTGGGGTGGGTTGCTCTACACTCCAGCCGATGCTGAAGAAAACCCAAGTTTTCGGCCAGAGTCTCGATTATTCTTAATGTTTCAATGTAAATCCGAACATTTGAATAGACATTCTGGGTTTGATTTCAAATTCTGAGATGATGAATTTCTTAACCCATGATTTCTAAAGCATTTCGCGGGGTGTACTACCCCGCCGATGTCAGACACGGCCGGCAGCACCATAAAAATGAAGCAGCTGTGCGCAGGAGCGCGCGGCCTCGCTCGACCTGCAGGCGCTGTCGCGAGCTGCGCCCGCGGGTAGGGCAGGCACTCTGGCCGAGCTCCGCGTCTCGCATGGAGGGCCTGCTATGACTGCTGCGATCCGTCCTGTGGCCAGGGCCCCCTCCCAGAAAACGACGACATCGCTGGCGGTCAGGTCGCCGAGCTTCGGATCGTCAGTGCTACCAACCGAAGTAAACAAACAACGGCCACCAGAGAGGCTTGCGAAAACATCCTGGAGGTCCCCACGGCGTCGATGGCCGCTGAAGAGGTGCAGAATCAAATAGCACCGAAATTGGTTAAAGTCGGGCGTGGGAAAATTGGTTTCATGTACTGGCGGCAATGGCGGTAACTCAGGCGCGGGGAGCGGCTCAAAATCACGGAAGGCCTCGTTCAGCGCCTCTCTCGCCATTCTCCCTGGGCGAGGGCCGATCAGCGCTGGGCGGAGTGCCTTCGGCTCTCGAGATCCTTGCCTCCTCATGCTGCGGGCTGCCTCGAGGTCCAGCTGCCTTCTGTGGGCGCCGCGTCGTGGTCCGCGAGCTCGCCGTGCAACACAATCTCCATGAGGCAGTGCCTGCAGTTGTGGCGAAGATGATGTCGTACTAGCTGTCCACGTGTGGGTAAATCTGTCTTGCATGCTTGCCATACCGTGCCCATGGCAGCCCTTTTCGCCATGTCGATCGGGTCGTGTACTACTGTGCGATGCGTCTTCCATGCCGCCACTGAGCTGGTCACCTCCCCGCAATCATAGCAAATGTACTGCTTCTTGTCCGTAGGCGGTTCCTTTAGTAGTATGCCCGCCTGCCGCTGCAACTTCGTAAGTTTTGCTTGCCATTCAATCACACGTGACTGCTCTGCATTGTGGGCTTTGCTCTTTTCCAGACTCGCCGCGCAACGTGTCAGGAAATCTCTTGGGCACTCACGAGCGTAGGCAACCCATTGACTGTAACCTCTGCGTGGTTCGTAGTCGCGATTCGTAGAGATGCCATCCCAGTCAGAATCAGCTGCCAACGCAATGGTCCACGCCCGTCCGCTGCCAGGTTTGGAGTATATCTCATCCAGACATTGTCGCAGAACCGCTGGCGCATCAAGTAGGATTGCCATCAAGAAGTTGAGTCGGCGATACCTTAGCAGATGTTCCAAAGCCGGGGCATTTGCATGTCTGAGTACAGCGTGGTCGGGTGTGTGTTCCAGCATGCCAGGTTTTGTGGTAGTATCCGTCGCCGACCTCAGGCCGCGCATTTATGCGGTGGCCGCAATTGAGAATACACCTTTGCACAGCGTAGGCCACGTCTCCACTTGCCATAGTAGCCGACTGTTGCCATAGCTGCGAACGTACTTGAGCTTCTCTTTGAGTTCAATGGATCGCTCTTTACATATTGTGTGCCTCATTTCATTTATAGCTCGACCTTGTTCGTTTGCGCGGCGATGAATTTCTGGTCGACTGTCCCAAGGTGTATGCGTAAGTTGTATAGCAACGTTTTGGTGACGCATGGTAGTGCATAGTGTGTTGCCTTCGCTGCCTTTTTCCAGTAACTTCTACATGCAGCATGATTGCCGCCTTCACTGGGCGTTCACTTGGAAGCCATACTTGACCATCGTGCGGTGTATGATCGTGATCGCCGTGCCGACCTCCTCTGCAATCTTCGCATTGCCTTTGCATCGTATTATGGTGGCCGAGTCGTCGATGTAAGCAGAGTCTAGTATGTGTGACTCGCTATCCTGCTCATTGGCGAAGGTCGCGGTTGCATGTGCAGCGGAATAAGTAAGTATGTCGGCCTCCTTCAGCTCGCGATATATCTCCTGCAGTGGCCTGGCGTACACTATGTTGAAGCCATAGTCCGCAAGCCCGTTGCCTGCCCTCGTACCTCGTCTCGCTAGCGCGATTGTGCTCGAAGATGGAGTCTGGCTCCATGTTGTCCTGCTTGCTTCCGAGATCCCTTTTCCTGCATGGCCAAGGGGGGCTTCAAGGCTGCCTCGACGAGCGGGTACAGCTGGAGCGGGAACTCGGACTCGTGCATGATGTCCTCGATATCGTCCAGGGAGCGCTCCATCTGAATACCCACGGAGCGGATGGCCGCGTAGAAGGCATTCTTGAGGTCGTCAAAGATACACGCTGCCGACTGTCCCCGACTGCTGCACGCCTGTACGCTGGTTCTCGTAAGGAGCACCGCGTCGTGGGCGCCCACCGACCCAGGTCTCCCTCAGCATGACGTGGATCGTCTGGGTGGCCGCGTTCCCGAGCCATTCGTGGTAATGCTTGCTGACCGTCTTGTTGAGGCAGACGTTTCCGAAATTGGCCCAATCCATGAGGTCCGCGTTCTTGGGCAGCCCGCGTAGGATGCCTTGCTTGAAGGTCAGTGGATCCTGGATGTAGAGGGCTGTCTTGAGCACCGTCGGGTAGAACCAACGGGCAGATGTCGCTGCTGTGGCCTTGAGTAGGTCACCTGGGTTTCCATCTGCACCTGGTCGCATGCTTGCCTTTGCCGTCCTGAAGCTTGCTTCCAGCTCGTGCGCCGCGGGGATCATCTCAATGCTCTGGTTGTTCGCGCCTGTCGTATATCTCGGCGAGTCCCTTCATGTCCGCGATCCTGGCCTGCTCTACCTCGCCAAAATGGTGGAGCATCGCCTCGTCAGCCCCGGCATGTGTCCGCGCTGCTTCGCCAGCCATATTGGCTCTCAGTGGGAGTTTTCTGCCGTTGGAGAACTTGTGCTTTCTACTTCCGGAATTGAGCAGAACTCGCACCTCTTTCGCTTCGCGTTGGGCATTTCTCTCGCCGATCGCCTCTTGAATCTCTTCAGCCTTCTCTCGTAGGAACGCTGCTCGGTCATCTCGAAGCTCTCGTCGCAGCAGTTCGAAAGTGTCCTTCAGACAACCAGCGAGCACCTCCGCGACGTCGCGGCACGCAGGGTAGCCATCAGCGCGGTCCATGAGGGAACGATTCATCCTGTCTGCGTGGGTCCGCCAGCTGCTATCTTTTGGTGCCGTCTCGCCCATCTGTCTGGGTAGGTGCTTTTCAAGCAGTGCAAGTGGTGAGGGCCTGCAGTGGTGAAAGAGGCTTCGCGCTTTCTTGACGTAGCGCCTTAGCCGAAGGAGCTTCATAGAGCCGTCTCTGACATACGGCTTGGGAGGTGTGAGTTGGTCTGCGGCGAAATACTTGGATGCAACAATCCAGTATTGCTCAGCTACAAAATCGGCATGTGTATTGATATCCAGCTCCCAGTGTTGTAATACCGCCGATGCCATTTGTTTGTGAATTCGCGTAGTTTCCGCTGATCTTTGATCTCCGCCGTGTCCAGTATTTTTTGTATGGTTTTGCTTCCTTTTGAAGCGCGGATCGTTGCTTTGAGTCTTGCCTCGGCTGGGAGATGGTCCACGTGTGTACCTCCACTATCCCAGTCATTCATTGCGCCGCACTCAGTGATCTTGTCCATGATGGCGGCGGAGAGCAGGATGTAGTCAATGCACCTGGAATGTAGTGTTGGCCAGCTATCTTGGTCCTTCTTGCACTTCCAGTAGTATGTATACGTGTTCGCTTGCTCCATCCTCGTGTTCGCGATGCATTGGTCTTCTCCGTCTTATTTGCTAGCTCTTGGCTTCGGATCCAGGGTAGCTGTTCGTCCCGCTTGCCTATCTGCCCGTTGGCATCTATCATCACTATTGTCGCCGCATGTTTGGATAGCCGTCGGCGCGTCTCCTCCCACCAAGCGTGTCGAAATGCTGCTGGGTGGTGCATGTAAGGCTGCGATGCATTCCTCGAATAGCGGCGCTGATACTATGGCACGGTATCGTCGTGGATCCGCATGTAGTTGGTGCACATGTGATGTTTTGAAGTATCTCTCTCCACTGCGGCTCTTCCAGTACGGTATGATTGTCGTATTTAGTAAGATGCCGCATCCCAGGTGCCCAGGATACAGCCATCGCCTCGTTGGACTCCTGCTGGTTGGCGTGTCTCCTGGATACCCACCATGGTGTGTATCTTTCTCTGCAGCGCTTGGAGACGGACAGGGCGTCCGCGTTGTGGTACCATTCCTCCGTACTCCTCATCCTCTGCCTCGGCCTTCATCGTGAGGGCGTTGTACATGGCTATGTCGACGTCGATCTCGCTCTTCGGCCTGTCACACTCGGCGCCAGTCCCGCTGTTTTGCTTCGTACGTTGATCCTCGTCGGGTGCCTGAGCCTGCTTCGCCGTAATTATGCCCTGCAACTGCGTCGCAGTCGGGCGGCGCCCTCCTTCGCCGTGGAGGCGGTGAAGGGTGGCGAGCTGGGGCGGGGCGCGGAGGGTGGTCCGTCCTCTCCCCCATCCTGCCCTGCACCGCCTCCCCTGGCGGGCGCGAGCAGCGGCCGTCCTGCTACCCCGCCCCTCGAGCCCGTCCCGAGGTTTGAGCCTTACCTTGGACTGAAACAGCGTGAGCAGTGAGCCTGCCAGTGCTGTTTCCTCCTCGCCCTCCTCCTCGCTTTCGTCCTCCTCCCCCTCGTCGTCCTCCCCCCCCCTTCGCGGCCGCCGTCGTCGATGTCGGTGTCTGCATGGCGTCTTCTTGTTTCGCAGCCGCGCATCCGGCAGCGGATTTTGCTAGTTCACTTATTTGCCAACGCACCTCTGACGTGTACGGCGTTCCTCCTCCTCCTCTTCTGGCTCCGCAGCTCCTCCTTAGCGCTTGCTGTCGGTGTCCGCCGATCGTGTCCCTGGGCCGTTCTCGATACTCGTTTGGGGCGGTGGCCAGCGCATACCACCGAGGTGGCTGGTACCGCCTGCTGCCCCTGGTCCACGACCCGGCTCAATACTGTTTCCTGCCAGTGACCAGTGCATACCACAATAGTGGCTGGTACCGTCTGCTGGCAGAGGTCCACGAACCGAGGCTGGCTCCACGTACTTCTGATGTGTGTATATATATATGGTATTTCCCATCTGCTGTCGTACATTTTCGGGTATGCCAGTCTGTCTGTGACGGGTGCGTCTTCGATCCATTGCCATTCGTCATCTCTGGAGTAGTGCAGCATGTTGATGATGCCCGTGGGTAACTTGCATCTATGTCTTGCATATACATATATATATATATTTCTCCCTCTCTCTCTCTCTCTCTGTGTTTCGAGATGTTGTCTGCCATGTCATTCCAGGGATGCCCATCGTGCGACTTGACATGCTCCAGCGTGATGTCCGCACGTCGGTGTATGTCTCTGGAAATGATGCTTAGCATTCTCGATAGCTCCTTCTCTTCTTTCATTGTAGAGCTGCCCTCAGCGCTTCCCTTGGCTGCGAGGCAATCGGTGTGGATGGATATTTGCGACTTGGGGAAGTTGGTACATGCCAAGATGTACGCCCAGAGCAAGCCAGTCATCTTGGCAGTATTGTTGGTCAGGTGCTTCGCATTGTAGGTCTTGACAGTCTCCGTGACCTTGCCAGTGACGTAGCCGTGATAGTGGAAACCGCATTCCGTCTGACCAACAATAACCACAGCCGAAGCTGCCTGGTCCTCCCGCTTCGCCGAACAGCTCCCGTCCGTGTATAGGTGAACGCGTCTGTGTGGCACCCGAGCTGGCGGGCACATTCTCGTAGCCAGCTCCGCGAAAGGGTGCAGCTCGATGTTCGTGATGTCCTGCTCGATGAGTAGGGGTCTCCCCCTGCCGTGGAGCTTCCTGGTGAGCCTGGGCGCAGGTTGTAGAGGGCATGATCTTGTCTCCCATGGCTGCGCCTCCGTCGGCCGAACAGCGGCAGCGTGCTGGAACAGTTGCTGATGCGGGCTCCCCCTTCTCTTCCTCCTCCGTTCCGCCTCCTCCTCCTCCTCCTCCTCCTCCGTTTCCTCCTCCTCCTCCTCCTCCTCCTCCTCCTCCTCCTCCTCCTCCTCCTCCTTCTCCTCCTCCTCCTCCTCCTCCCCCCCCCTCCCCTGGAGGTGATCCCGGTGTCCCGCTACCCTGGGGACCCCCAGGGCCAGGCGTTCGCCGCCGGCGTGACGGGCGGCATGGTGGTAAAGTCCGTCGCCGGTGCGGATGTGCTCACGGAGGACTTCGGGAAGATCATGGACATGCTGGACGACGAGGTGGCGGACCCGCGCTTCTCCAAGTCCACAGCGCTGGCCCTTGAGAAGCTGGGGAGGAAGGCGGACCCCGCAGAGACGCCCCTGGAGGTGGTCTACGCGACCGTGCCGGGCTACGTGTACGCGGGCGCCGAGATGAAGGCGGACGGCCAGGACGGCTTCGCCCGCTGAGTGCGCTCCGCTCTGACCGGCGGCTCCGTCGCGCACTCCCGCGAGGCGACGCGCAGCCCGATCGGAGTCTCTGCCGGCGCCGTTTTCAAATGTGGCCGCCGTCGCCTCCGCCCTGCGGCCCTCCGCCGCCCTTCTTGATCCGCCACCCAAAAAATCTACACTGACGCTTGTGTACTAACCAAGGCAAGCCCTGTGACGACAAATACACACAGACACCATCCAATGGATTGTCCCCGGGCCTCAGGGGAGGGTGGCGCGGTGTGTAAATCACCATTCCGAGCCAGCGGCTTTCTACACCGCGGTCCCCCCTGAAGGTACAGGCGAGGTTCGTTGGAGGGCGTCTGTGTATGAAGTTTCGTGGCGCACTGAGTCCCATCTCCTGTCTCCTCTCCCCTGCCGGTCGCTCCCCCGCAGCGGCGTGCCCCCACCTCTCTTCCCTCTTCCCCTCCCCCCCCATCGCGTCATCCCGGCGAGGAGGGGGAGGAGTAGAGAGAGGAGGGGGACGAGGAGGATGAGGAGAGGATCGAGGACGAGACGAGGCCGGGGACGACGCCGCGGGGCATGAGGGCGCGGGCGACGATGAGCGGGAGGGGCAGAGGGACAAGTGCGGCGGGGAGGATCGGAGGCAGGAGCAGGAGCAGGAGCAGCATCACGCGAAGGATCGGAGGAGGAGGAGGGCGAGGAGGAGGAGGAGGAGGATGAAACTTGGGCGAAGATCCATGGGGAGGGGGACGATCTGAGGGAGATGGGGAGGGACGAGGGGCAAGGCAACGGAGAGGCGGAGGGAAGAGAGGGATGAAGGGCAGAGGGGGAGTGGTGAGGTTGAACTCCGAGGTGGGGGTCGTGGAAGGGGGAGGAAGTGACGGGTGTGAAGGATCGAACAACAGGGCAGGATGTCACACGTCTCGTTTCTCCCCTCTCTTCCCCTAGCGACGCTGACTGTCGCCATCCTACCGTCCTGTATGTCTCTCTGACTCTATCGCTCTCTTTGTTTCTATCCTTCTCTCTCTCCATTCAGGGCTCCCGTGTTTCATATGTGTATACGTTTTGTTCATGGGTTGTTTTGTTATCTTTCTCTCTCTCTCTCTCTCTTTCTCTCTCTCTCTCTTGTCTCTCTCTCTTCCCCGATAAAAATAAACAGAAGTTAGCCAACATGGAACCCAAATCTCGATGTCTTGCAATGCAGGTGGTGCAGTCTAGGTGGTGCAACAAATGTGGTGCAAACTACGTGGTGCGAGGTGCAAACTGAGTGGTGCGGAGCAACACAAGGTTACGCAATGCTATGCAACGCCATAGAGGGCAAGGAGCAGCAATGCAAAGAGCAGTGAAAGTCAATGCCAAGCAATGCAACGCAATGCAGAGCAACGCAGAGCAATGCAACGCTATGCAACGCACTGCAAACCTATGCACACCAATGCAACGCAAGGCAAATCAATCGAATGGAAGTCGGATCACTGCAAGCCAGTGCCAATCAGTGCAACGCAATGCAAATCAACGCTGCGACGGGCGGCGATGAGCTGACCAGACCGCCACCGGGATTTTTACCGGCGACGGGCGGCAACGAGCCCGCCAAGACCGCCACCAGGGGCCAGCTGCGACGACAGCGACAAACGGCGACGAGCCAGCTGGACCGCCACCGAGGCCCTGTTACCTTGAAGACACGAGACAGCCCCTGAATTGAAGGATGCTTTGGGGTTCAGGGTGCCCCTGGGGTCAGGACTTTAGGGGGGGCGCTAAGAGGACTCAGTTGCAACATCGCCTTGGTAAGTCAAGATGCATCTTGATGCGGGGGTGGTCGCCGTCAACTTGTCCGTCGACGACCGCGAAAACGCTGACGAACGCGAGCGCTCGGGACAACCGAAAGCACGTCTGCAGAAACGCACCCACAACAGCCCAAACGCGTCCTGGGCCATGCAGTGCTACGCTGTGCTCTCATTCGTGCAACGGCTTTACTACGGAAGGCTACGTGGCCGTGGCATGACCTGCGATTGCAAAGCTGCTTTGGTGTTCCAAGACCATGTTAGAGTCACGCAATGCGGCGGCTATGATAACGGCAACGCGCGCCGCCATGCAATGCTATGCTGAACTACCAACGATGCATGCAACGCAATACAGAGCAGTAGCGGTGGTTGACATACGCGTAGACGATCTCTCCATAACACACACACGTGGCAAGACCACACTGTCGGCCTCACTACTGCACGCTGCTCCTCAAGCCTCCTCTGCCTCCTCCCGTCTGCCCTATTTTGTGCTATGCCTCCCTCTTTTGTCTGCTTATTCGTCCTCCTCCTTGCCCCCATGGTCATTATCATCCTCCTCCTCCTCCTTCTCCTTCTCCGCTGAAACTTTCCTTCATTCCGAGCTCGGCCCAGCGCAATTTCACCGCGATCCCCCCGCGCCACTGATGGCCGTTCTCGTCGGCACGGGTGGCACCAGCGTGGAGAGAGAAACGGAGACGAAAGTGGAAACCGCTACGGTCCTCTACCCCCCCCCTCCCCCTCCTGATCCACCTCGTCCTGCTGCCCCGCATCCTCATCCAAACCACCGCCACCCTCATCCCTACGCCCCCTTCCGCCCCCCTGCCCACGCAACCCCAGAGGGTACGCGCCCCCCCCCGACCCAAGATAACATGTGCAAAAGTATGTTCGCCCCCCCTGATATCTGAATGACTGTATTCAGAGGCCCCCGTGGAAGAACTGACAGGGCACCCTTCTGCCAGAAACGGGCCTCGCAAAACGCGGGGTGGGGCACCAGGGCGACAAGAAGATGCCCCGCTAGAAAACGTCGCGTGTCGCAATTCGGGCGACATCTGTGCGCGGCCCCTGAAGGCCACCGAGGGGGGGAAGGGTTGGCAGACCCCGCCATATTTCTCGCGATGACCCCTCGGCCACATATTAGCTCCAGCCTAGCACACACCGTCGCTCAACCCAATCTGCACTACGGCCTACTTCTCTGGGGATGAGGGCACTGAGTTGTTGAAGGAGGGGGGGGGGGGTAGTCGACGCTGTAACCACTCGACGCCGTGGCAAGCTCTCGCACAGACTGCATGCGCTTGCCACGGCCCAACACTAGACAACCTGGCGGGGTGCATCCTGATAAAACGTCGGGCACGCACATCGCGAGCGCGACGACGCTTTTTGGTCCCGTGGCGGTGCGAAGCGGGGCTACACACCTCAATATCGATCCAACGCCCGCTAAAGCATCGCGCAACCTCCTCAAACGCCGGCCCCGAGAATCCCCTGGGTAGTGCAAGCGCCACCGCACTTGCGATGCACGAGCCCTTCGCCCCTTCAGGATGCACCCCTGGTAGCACTGCCGTGCAGTGACATGGCTGACACGCGTGATCACATCAGCTGTTTCGAAGGTTGCCAGAAGCTGTTTCGAAGTTGGCCCAAAGCTGCCTCAAACATTAAACTGCGTGCTTTTCATGGCGCGTGCCATAAATCCATGGGCTGATCGATGAAACTCCCGAGGATTGCTGCCGATGTGATCGCAGGTCTTGCGAGCCCAATTGTAAAACTCGACGGCGGCTACGACGAACGCCTGCCGATAGACAGGCGCGCCAACTTCGCCTTCTTGGCGGGCGGGCCTGCGTCGGCCGCCGCTGACTCCGACACCGACGGGGACCTTGCCGAAACGGATGGCGAGATGCCAGCCGCTCCCTGGCGCGGCGCTGCAGTCGTAGCCGACGCCGACGAGGAAGCAGCCGACGCGCCGCTCGCAGAGGCGGTGCCGCGGATCTTGGTCAAGCTCTGCGCCTCGAGCTTCAAGGCGGTCGGGGAACGAAGGGGCTCCATCGGCGCCGAGGCGCCGTCCTCGACGCAGGCCAGCTCTGCCCAGAAGGCATTCGGGAGATTGATATTTCTGTCGGCCTTGTGCTTGGCTTTGAACTCACGGGCCGCCTTCGATGACGCTGGGCCCTGCGACTGGAACCTCAACAAGTTCACGCCCTGGATGAGAACTGAGGCCTCGTAGAGGTTCGCGAGGGTCTGGGACGCCACGGCGACGCCAGACATCGTCAACGGGTTGTGCTGAAGGGGGGGCGACAGCTCAACGCGCTTGGAGGCAGTGTCAACTTTGGAAAGCACACCGAACAACGCGTTGTAGCTTCTCACGACGTTCGCCAGCTTTCCGTCCAACAGGTCGACCGCCATCGCCAAGTTGAACGAGTTATCTGTGAATATGGGCTGCCAAAGCGGGAGATCGGCCCTGCATTCCAGAACGCTCTTGGCGAGACCAGCCACGCGCAACTCCATGATGTCATCTCGGCATCTCCTCGTGAACGTTGCTACCTGCGTGGCCCACTTCCCCAGACAGTGCACAGGGATCCGCATGCTGAAACCGTCGAGCTCCATCTTCCTCGCAGCCTCGCTCGCGACGAAGGTATCGATCAGCTTCAGGCGGTCGTGCATCAGCGACAAGGCATGCACATGGATGTTCGAGACTGGGTGGTACTGCGCCTTAGCAAGCTCCACCTCTCCTTGGCAACCTCGCCGTCCATATTCACGAGGTGGCGCTGCAGTGCAATGGCCATCATGACAAGGTCCCTCACTGCAGTCATCAAGTCGAACACGAAAGCCGCCACCTCGAATGGCACGGCGTGGTCGTTGCCCTTTCGGCACAGGTCGGGGGAGGGGCGCGGTGAAGCACGAGCGCTCACCGCTTGAATGTGGCAAAGGGCCACGGGTATCCGACACCGCCCCTGGAAACTAAACTTGCGGTGGCGCTGCGAGTTTCCGTTGCCAGCCCCCCCCGCCCAACCCTTCAGGCCTGCTCGCCATCTCGCATCACCACGCCGGCGGCCTGGATCACGCTCATGTTAGTAGCAGCGGCGAACTCCTTGAGCGCATTCAGCGTTCTGTGGTGAACCAGCTCGTCGAATTGGTCGCTGTCGGCCTCCTCCAGCTTCAGCATCGCCTCGATGTCGCCTGGAAGCGCGTCGTTGACGCCAGGCTTGCGAATGGGGCGCCCTAGCACGTGGGCGCGGTCGGTGGACTCCAGCACGTCATCCTGGACCACGGCGACCTCGAGCTCGCTGAACCCCAACATGGACATGACCGTAGGAGATATCCAGATAGATGCGATCTGATCGTAGACTGCGTCGGTGACCTGCGCCTTAAAGCCGAAGAATGTAACGCTGATATCATTGAGAACGGCTGCGTCGTCGACGGAGCTGGTGCCCATGAAGACGATCTCGGTGATGCCCGCGAGCTCGTGCTGGAGTCGAGCCATGGTGATGGCGTAGTCCCTGAGCGATGCATCAAACTTGGTTGGGCCAAACAGCTCTGCTCCATCCGATTTTGTCAAGACAGCTGAGATCTCGACACACGCCTGCATGTAGTCAACCATGTCCTGGACCATCTTCCAGTTCCCGTTGAGGGCGGCCGCCACCTCCGTCACGGAACCCAGCGAGGCGATCATCTCTGCGAGCTCTGGGTCGCCCCTCCGCTGCGTCAGCGCGTCGATGCACTTCGAGATCCCCTGCAACAGCTGCTGCAAGCCAGCGTGGTAATCAGTTCCGCTCTGCTTGACCGTGCGCAGGCCCCCCAATACTAACATCACAGGGTCAGTGCGGTCGGGGCGCACTGCGTCAAGCTCAAGGCCTTGCTCGGAATCGGCATTCTCGCTGCCCCTCGCTGGCTGTGGCTGGTCTCCGAGTGAAAGGCCTGCTGAGCCATCCCGCCCAGCGCCGCCGTCGCAATCTACGCCCCCTGCTGAATCCATAGCTGCTCGGTCGGCAAGAGCGCGGGACAATGGGCGGCAGACGAGCTTGTGGAAAGTTGACATGACCCCATACACTCCGCATGACACCAATTCCAATGCGTCGGCGATAGCTGACGTGATGGAGTCGAGGTTGTCGTTCATGGCTGCGACTGACCACCGCGAGGCCGAATTCATGATAGCCACAAGGAGGTCGTTGATTGGCAAGAGCCTCTTCAGGAGGATCGAGTACGTCATGGTTGCGTGGACATCGTCGCTCTTGTCGGGCTCGTTAATGAATAACTCCATGTCGGCGTACGCTGTTTCAAAATTGGTCTCGAAGTTGGCGCAACCGCTCTCGAAAATCTTGCTCGCAGCGTCGTCCTCAACCCCTCGGGGCGCATGCCTCCGAGCGACCTCCATGATGTAGATGGAGGGCTTGTAGCCGACCATCAGCTTGCAAAGGTCCTGAGCCACCTGCCCGATCTCGCCCGAACCCTTCCCAACAGAATTCGCATGGATAAACTTCCGCGCGGCACGAACATCCGAAGTCGGCGGCTTGTCCTTCTCGTTCTCGCGGACGCATTGGGCAACAACCTTGATGCTACACAACGCCGTCTCGATCTGGCAGGTGTCTATCGTCTTAGTACGTTCAGAGAACAATTTCACCCACGCTTCCCACGCCTCCTCAGTCTGCTCCGCGACGCCGATGAGCATGCCATCTTTGATAGTGCCCCCAGTGGCGATTGACTGCCAGAAATGCTGCAGAGCGCTGTGCACCATTATGCCGAACTGCTTGGCCACGGGAAGAGTGAGGTCAACAACGTCATCGATGAACTTAACTTTGCTCTTCTTGCGAGCCTTCGCGGCTGGAGCCGACGATTGGGCTTCACCGTCATGATCAGCAGCGCCCTCTGCCGCCTCCACCTGGGCCGCCGCCAGCTCCCCCCCTTTCTTCAAATACTCCACTGCGTGCTCGTGAACCAGATCCAGCCCTTGGAGGCCGCAGCGCAACATTGCCCCCACGAATGCGAAACGGACGCGTGCCCGACCGAAACTGGAATTGCCGCTACCTCCCCCCCCCACGCCATCAGGCGCACTCGAACAAAAAACGCCAACACTCTGGACCCTGGACCGCCCAACCCGGGACACCTGGAAGTGCTGGGTTGGCAGCCCCAGTTTCGGTATCGAAGCACCGTTCGCTTCGCATTCCAATCGCCTTGGCAACCGACGAGTCCTGCAAATAAGCATTGAAGAACGCTGCCTTCACTGTCACGAGCGCGACGGGTGGCGCCAGCTCGTAGCCCGACGCCTTCAGGTACATGAGCAGAGCCGTCATGTGCGGCAAACACTCGACCAACTTGTCGTCAGTCCTCACCTGCGCCCACGTGGTGAAGGCCTTGTTGACGTGCAAGAGGGCTTTGACACGCTCCTGGAGCTGCTTGAAACAAACCTGGATATCCAACGTTGCCTTCCCAACGATCTTCTCTTCGTGACCGTTGAGCCGTCGTCCTAACGCACCAATCGTGGCTGACTTGAACCCCCTGTGCCACTCGAAGGCGGCCAGCGCTTCGACGTACGAGTTCACCGTCGTCCTGATGCGCCCGAGGTACTGGCACGTCAGCCCCTTGGGAAAGTCCTCCTTCATGGACAGAGGCGTGGGCTCGCACTGGTACAAAGCTGGGTCCAGCAAAGTCGGGGTCTCGCCCTCCTCGCCGCCATCAAGAAGACGCGCTGCGCACTCGGCCTCCTCGGGCAAGACAGCGGCGGCAACCCCACTGCCGCTGGCACTCCCACCCTCTAGCTGCTCGACCTTCATCTGCGGATCTGTCAAGTCGATCAACGACACCGTCAAGTTGGACACCTCTGGCATCGCGGCGCGGCACGCAGCGTCAGCCTGTGCAACCGCAGCGGCCTGCTCGTCATCGCTGCCCTCGCGCTTGACGGCCGACTCGCCCGCCACCTCGCCATCGTTCTCGTTGGTCGGGCTGGCCTCAAACCACCCAGACTGGCGATCTGGGTCCATCTCTGGCGGCAAGGTGATCATCCCGACGTTGAGCGCACTCAGCGGCTCGCGGGCGCCGTCGCCGCCGCTGGGGTGAAGCTCCTCCTTCACAGCAAGAGGCATTGTGCGTCGGGCAGCTCGCTCCCCTCGACAGGTGGCCCTGGGAAGAGCCAGTAGCAGGCATGAGCCTTGAGCCGAAATAAGGTTTACGGTTTGGTGTTTGACCATTTCTGGCCTGCTGGGGGCCGCATGGTTTCAGCTCGGCGTTGTTGGATCCGTCGTTGTTGTTGTTTGCCGTGGTCCGTTCTGGCCTTGATTGGGCTGGCGTCTGCTGGCCTTGGTGTATATAGGCCCACCTGGGAGGCCACATGAAATTTGCCAATACCGTGGTTTATGATGCTTAGTTTCCGTGAGTCGACTGTGCTTTCAATCGCATTGGGAACCCCAGTTTGAAGGACTGTTTCAGACCTGCGTCGCATTTATTATTAATTGCGACATCGCATTGCAACCCCTGGGGTCGCATGTTGGGCGTCTCCGAATGCGTTGTTTCACGTGCCCCATGCTGTGCTGCGCTGCGCTGTGTCATCGCACGGGGAAGCCAACGGTCCCAGCGTCGTTTCTGGATGGGCGTGCCCTTGAGGCCGCGGCTGGACCTCGGCGGGGCGCTCAAGCCCGCATGGCGCCTTTTTCTTCGGAAGCAGGCGCCCCAGAGCTCAAGACCAATACTGAGATCAATCACAACACTGCGGGACGCCCCTCATTGCTGAGGAGAGCACGCGGGCACCTGCACTGCTGGACAAGGCAGAGCGAAGAGACCGACGTGACGAGACTGACAAGGCTGATGATGATGAGGAGGGGCCGAGGCTCCTGAGGCGTGTTCGACCAAGCGCCTCCGCGAGCGAAAACAATATCCAAACGAAGAGTTGGCTGAGGAGACTTAAACGTCTTCACGATGCAAGCCATGCTGGAGGCGTTGCTCGAACAAAACTGCAAACTGCCGCTGTGCCGCCAGCGCACGTTCAATCTGAAGCACTCGATGATGGGTGGTCCTCGGAGTCGACTTCCAGGGGCCGCGCGTCCTCATGATCGCCCTGCTGCTGTGCCTGCGGCTGCGCCGCCTGGAGATCGATCCTCCTGATGTCGCCGTGCGGCGTTGCTTTGACCTGCAGGTGCTCCCCCCTCGCGGCGACGTTCACATCTCTGCCGCGAATCTCGGATGCCGCTGTTAGCACGGGGGCTCATCCCCCCTCCGCCTCCCCCTCCTCCTCCTCCTCCTCCTCCTCCTCCTCCTCATCCTCCTCATCCTCCCCACCCCCATCCTCCGCCTCCTCCTTCTCGTCCTCCACCGCCTCCTCCTCCTGCTCCCGCCCAGAGAAAATAATCTGGCGGTCCTTGATGGTCCTCGCAGGAGATCCCTGCTTGCGCTTGGCCTTGAGCTTCACGATGCCTGGGATTATGATCCCGCGCTTCTCGCCGCTGAGCTGCTGCTTGGTGACGGTGCGGAGCGCGGCCAGCGTGCGAGCCACGTCGAAGTAGCACACCTCGGAAGGAGGGACAGCCCACGAACGCACGCGCTGCCTGCCAGTCGCATCGTCTGCCTTCGAACGAATGTTCGACGTCGGACGATGCGACTGGCAGGCAACAGCTACAGCAGCGGCTGCAGCAAGGATGTGCGCACGCATCACGTATCCCTGGCACCCTTGGCGGAGAGAGCCCCAAGACGGAGCCCACGTTCTCCGTCTCGTCGGACACCAACTGCGCCAGGCGCTGGGCGTCCACCGACAAGCGGCTCAGCGGCAAGGTGCGCGGTGGATGCGGTGGCGCGGCTGCCTCGGCACCTGCCCCGTCGGCCTCGCCAGCCGCCGCCGCCGCTGCTGGGGCGGCAACATCAGCCGCTGGCGCCGCCACCTCGGCCCCGAATCCTGGGCCGCCCGCCGCCGACGCAGCAGCGCAAGCTCCCTGGAGCGCCCGAGAGATGGAAATCTCGGGCCTGGAAGCTCTGGGGAAAAAACTCGTTCTCCTCCGCCCCCCCCCCCCCCCTCCTTCGTCCCGCCATCCCTTCCTCCACCCGCACTGTCACAATATCACGACGTTGTATCGCACGTGGGGCCGCGACATGACAAACACATGCGAACGCTTCGACATGACATGCGCATGGCATCAGAACATGGAATGCACATGCACACGATGCAGCGCACAAAGACCAGCACCCATACCCTACAGAATGTGTTACCAAACCTGGCACATAATACACTAATAAACACGGAAGCCAGCATTGACGGAATTACGACGAAGGGGGTGGATGCATTTGGGACCGAAGAAACGCAATGCGACAAGGTAGGCGGTCTGCAAGACCATCGTAGGCAGCAGGTGGCAGCGGCTCCGAGGTATACCGCGATGCACACGCCGCAACGGTGCAAGGCTGCATGCGTGCCTCAACGGGCGCGTGCTTGCGTTTTTTTTTTTTACAGCCGTTCTGGCAAGAGGCGGGCGCACGCGCGCCTGTTCTCAGAATGGTTCACCATTCCGCCGCGCACCCAAATGCACAGCCAGGCTCACAAGCTGGGCGCGCAGCTAAGATGTTCGGCGGCGGCGCAGCAGGATAAGTGACGCCCCGCCACGGAAAGCGCGCACCGCTAACTAAGTGGACCATCCGATCGCGCGCTTGGTCGGGAGAAGCGCTCGCTGCGGGGTGCGACAGCAAGCGCGCGCCGTAAAGATAACGCTCGCGCTGCGGGCATGGCCCTGCAAACCCGAACGCTGCGGCGGGCAAGTGGCGCGCGCGCTATTCAACGACGCTCGAACAATTCGGCGCGCCCGACTAAACCGCCCGCGCGCCCCGCGCCCCTTTGAATGATGAGCGTAGCGCAGCCTATCTCCGAGCTACCTTCACACCGCAGAAGGAGACGAGCGGCGCAGCTTACATCGGATGCCGCGCGCGCGCTCGATCGGGCGCGCGCATGATCCACGCGCGCGGAAGCACGCCAAACAACGACAACGCGAGCGCGAGCGCGTAAACCCGCGCGCGCTTTCAATGGAGCCCACGCCACCAAAGGCAACGGTGGCCAACCGATGCCAGCGTGCTTCGCCAGCTGACATGGCCAAGGGCGCTGCATCACGCGAGCGCCTGGCTGGCGACGGCCGCATCACGGGCGCGATCGTTGATGCATGACGCCTATGTGTCAAAAGAAGACTGGGCATTTGCAAAGACCCCCTCCCTTCCAACGCGCCGCCGCCGATGCCGCGCGCGCATCGGGTCGCCCCGCGCGCGCCCATCGCCCGCTCGCCCATCGACCATCACCGTTCCCCCCCACACGCACACACACATACACACACACACACACACACACACACACACACACACACCACAAGCACACGCGCGCGCGTGCAGCACGTGGACGCACGGGCGCCACCGCACACGCGTGCCCCATCCATTCCCAGCCGCGCGCGCGCGCCACCACCGCCATCGCAACGCGCGCCACGCCCACTTTGCAACGGCTAGAAAATTGCAACCGCGACGCTCCAATCTGCAAGCGACGGTCGAACCGACGGTCGGCAAGCGGACCAGCTTGGCCCACCCAACGCCATGCAAGCGAAGCTGGCTCGGTCGGTCGACTTGCAGGAACTCGACCGACGACGCTCGGTCAATTTGCATACCCGTAGCCGCAAGATTCGAACGTCAACATGCCACGTCAATTTGTCGAGTCGACTTGCGACGTCGACATGCAACGCCGAATCGAATTGCCAAGTCGACTTGCCGAGTCGACGTGCGTATACGGGCCGCCCAAGTCAACCCGCGAGATCGGCATGCAAAGTCGACATGCAAAGTCGACTCGCGTTGGCGAGCCGATTTGCAGAGTCAACATGGAAAGTCGAATTGCTTTGTGAAGTCGGCTCGACTTGCGAAGTCGACTCGGCTTGTGAAGTCGACTCGACTTGTGGAGCAGAAAATCTACACAGGTCAAGTTGCACTTGCAAGGGCGGCGAAACGGTAAGTCGACTTGCACTCGCG